CCCCGCCCCGCCCCCTCCGCTCGCGTTCTGAGGGCTTCTCCCATCCTCCGCCTGAGTGTGACGAGCGAAGTCTGTTGCCCCGCCCCGCCCCGCCCCCTCCGCTCGCGTTCTGAGGGCTTCTCCCATCCTCCGCCTGAGTGTGACGAGCGAAGTCTGTTGCGCAAGTCCAGCGCGCCCGGCAGGGAGAAGCGGGAGAGGTATTCCCGCGCGCCACAGACTCCTTAAGGCGCGGCGTTCGGCGGGCTCCTTCCGGAAGCGGAAGCTCAAACTCGGGGGGCGGGCCGAGGGCGGCCTGGAGCTCACGGCGGTTAATTCCTTTTGCTGTGCGGCTTTGCGTCCTCGTCTGGGCTTCTCTGAGGCTGCGAGACATGGTCAGGTCCGGATCTCGAGCGGGCCAGGTGAGGGCTTGTGGGCCCGAGGCGTCCTCTAAAGGTGGAGCGGGGATGAGCGGGTTCTGGGCTGGGGAAGTGCAAAACTAGAAGAACAAATAAAAACAAAGACAACGTGGGGGCATTCAAATGTTGGGGGCGTGGCTGGACCTGCGGTAGACGCCTGCGCCGTAGTCATCCTTGTATATTCCGTTTAAGTCTTAATACTTTTCGGGCGCTGACCTTGGTGTCGGGCTCGGGTTCGGGTCCAGCCTCCGCCACGGGTTAGGGTGACTTGACTTCGTTAGCTCGTCGTCCCAGACCCAGGCTCTCGGCCATTCCAAGTGCCACAGTTAACTGATTTCCTATCACAATTACGGGTATTTTGCTGGTTTCAAAAGTCTCCCAATCAGTGTTCCTGCCTTTAGCCTTACCTTTCTCAGCTGCACGCTCTCGTCTTTTCTGCTTAAAATCTGACATTGGCACACAATTTTCCCCAAGATGAAAATCTCAGGTCTTTGATCTTCAACAAAGGCATTTTTCCCCCTTTGCATCTGGCCCCTGCTTCCATTCCAGTAATACCCAGCATTATACTTACCTGTTTGTTCTGCAGTGCCCTAGAAGTGCTGTGTCCTCTTACAGGGCCTTCTAACCTTTGAAGTTACTCCTTTTCTCTAGAGTGCTTTCTTTTATCCCTGATGGCCGTACTTTACCTGGTGGATGTCCCTTACTTAGGTCAAGCGCCCCCTCTGGAAAGCTTGCCTAGAGCATTCTCTTATTCCCCGCCCCCCCTCCTTTTTGGCGCCCTGTGGTACCCCTTTTGTGTCCTGTATCAACTGTTTTGATTTTCACTTGGCAGCTCACAGATAATGCCATCTTCCCTATTAATATGAATTATAAACCCTTTTTTTTAAGAGTTCCTCATGAATACTTCTAGACCAATTTATCTATTAGATTTTTCTTTGTATTTGAAAAGTCAGAATATGTGGAATTAGCAAGGGAGAAAAGCTTTTATAGCCACCCTTAAAAGGGTGGTAGTGATAGTAAACAAAGGACTTTTTTTTATTTCTCTGAGCCTCTTCCCTCTTATATATAAAATAGATATAAAATTCTGCCTCGAAGAATTGGAGAGATTAAATGAGAGAACCTAGTAAAATATCTGTCATTCTTGACATAAATGTACAAGATTAAGTGTCCTTAAAAACAGTTTATTGTCATCTTAATGATAATAGCAGAATAATGCGACATATTATTCAAAATGCTTTTACATATTACATAGTCATTTAATGTACTATAGCCTACTGGGTAAATACTGTTATCTTCATTTTATGAATAAGGAAATTGAAGGATGGAGAGTTCAAACAACTTCCCATAATTTTACAGTTTGTTAGTGCAGTCAGGATTCAGATCCACATAGTTGAATCCAGAGTACATTCTTTTAAACATTACACTATACTTAGATATATGACTTTGAACAAGCCATCCTTCTGAAATTTAGATTCTTACCTCACAGAAGTAGTAACTCACAGGGTGTGGATTAAGTGGAAATGAAAGGGTCTGCATTACATGTTGCAAATGTAATTGATCTTACACTTGTTCTAGATACAATCCCTATTAAATGCTTATAAAGGCCTCCCCTATGATCTGAAGTTAAAATGGCTGTATGAAGCCTTTGTAAGCCAAAATGGCAAAAAAGCATGTAACATTAAATTCTGTGGAAAGGATTTTGAGCCTGCTTCGAATTCCAGATAGCACATCACACCTACATTAACATTTACATAGAAAAAGTGAGAGTGATACGATAAATGCACAACCTGTGTAAAGAGTTCTCAGGTGAGGAATCGGTGGGGCCACCCTCATGGCTCTGGGTGCTGGTTCACTAACTACACTGCCAAATACTGAAGGCTACTTGCTTTCAGTCAATTTTTGGTAAATTGAAACTTCTCTATAGATTTCTTTCTGTTAACAAAAATACTGATGTAGTCTTTCCATACTATAACTCAGCTTTTCAAAAAGCAGAAGATACTTTTCAATTAGCAAAGAAAAAAGTTTTTAAATCTTTTAATGTCCATTAATGGGTGAATGGGTATTAGGACAGGAATTTGTTGCTGCTTTGTAGCAGGAACACAGTGAGTGACAACAGTCATGGAGCAGGTTTGCAAGACAAGCCTGCTACTTGAGTAGAAGTTCTTGTGCCATTTATTGAATGCATACGGCTAGTAAAAGTGCGACAGTGGTTATGAGGAGTAAGATTTGAAGGGGCAAGGGGGACAAAGTTTTACAAGGAACAGAGAAGGAGACATGGTGGCCATTGCCAAGAAACATTTGCGTCAGCAAAGTATTTGATGTTATCATGGGCACTTATCCCGACACCACGATGGAGATAGGCACGTAATCAGGTCAGTGAATGCCTAGGCTTCCCAGACCTTTCTCAGCATATGGGCTGTCCTCTGTAGATTGTCAAGGAATGCTCAGCTGTGATTTGCAGATAGCAAATAGGTCACAATTGCCCATGAATCCTCAGCTCATAAGAAACCACAGATGGGTAAAGAAAATGTGCTTAATAGACACAATGGACTATTTAACCTTAAAAGAAGGAGATTCTTCCATATACAACATGAATGAACCTGGAGTATGTCATGCTAAGTAAATTGTGCCACCCAAAGCACAGATAGTGCATCGTTCTACATAATGCATCTAAAATAGACAGACTAATAGGAGCGGAGTGAAATGGTCAATGTAGATGCCAGGGTTTGGAGGAAGGGTGAAAGGGGGAGTTGCTATTCATTGGATATAAAGTTTACTGTTAGGCTAGATGTATGAGTTCCTGTGAAATCATGACTTTAGTAAAAATACCGTATACATACAGATTTGTTAGGAAGGTAGATCATAAGTTAAATTTCCTTAACACAATGAAAAATATGAACCTGAAGCACCTGCTTGCAGAAAATAAGGAATAACTCAAAAATAATGGAAACATTAACATAACAGCATGTATGAGCTTTTTGGAGTCTTCTGACAAAATTGGAGACATTTGAGCCCAAAAATAAATATTGATAATGGGTTATAACTTAATAAAATTGGAATTAATGAGTTCATACTAATGAATAAAAGGAGGAAGACTGCTTCACTAAAGTTGACTGTTAACCAAAAAGTGTATAAGGAATGATATAAGTTGAGAAAATCACCACTTAACAGAGGAACAAGGCAAGAATCATTAGTGGATGCCTAAACCACTGGGTGACAGTTTGTTGAAAAAGATGTCTGCCTAATCTCAAACTCTCACCACAAAGTGCTTAATGTTTGCATGATAAAAAGAGTGAAAAACCTTGCAGACACATCTTAAATAATCACTCAGTACAACAAACTGACGTGTGTTTGCTTTTATTCATTTTTTAAAGGGAGGACAACCTTCCTTTAGTGATATTCCTGCCCAGAAAGCACAGCCTGATTCTAATCAAAGAAAAGTCTTAACCATAACTGGCTAATACTCCTTAAAAATGTCAAGGTTACAAGAGATAATTATGACAACTTGAAAAACTAATCCAGATTAAAGGAGACTAAAAAGATGGGACAACTTAATGCAATATATAGCTATGGATTGAATTAATTTCCCGACTTGGAACATTATATTGTGGTTATTTGAGAGGGTAACCTTGTTCTCAGGAAATACTGGGTTGTCAGAAAAGTCATAACATTTCAAACAAAAATGCATAGTGACTTTTCTGACAACCCAATATTTAAATATAAAGGGGTAGCATGTCTGCAATTACTCTGAAATGATTCAGATAAAAAAATAATACTATGTATGTATTTTGAGGGAGAACATAGCAGTTGCAGTAAAATGTTAATAGTGGGGAATCTGGAGTATCAATTGTTCTTTGTACAATTATTTCAAAATAAAAAAATTTTGAAGTCTCTGTGCCAGTATGAGAGTTACTGTGTAGAGTGCTTTATCATGGGTAACTTTTTTCACCTGACTCTATAATATAAACTCTTGTATATGCTTTCTGCTATACTTTTTTTTTTTTAAAGATTTATTCATACAGAACTAGGGTACAGGCCAGAGGTGCAGGGGCGGTGAGAAGCTTCATCAGAGACAGAGTGGGGAGCAGAACAGGCTGACTGACGAAGTACACTGCTGAGGGGAGCAGCAGGGTGGTCAGGAGAGGTCTGCCATGCCATGTGGGCCACCTCCGGGGCTGGGGATCCAACTCATGCTGAAGCAGCCTTAGCTTCTTAGAGCTGTGCTTTAACCTGCTGCGCCACCAGGGATGGCCCCCTTTCTGCTATACTTTTACCTGAGCACACTTTTAAAAATTGTAGTAAGAATAGTTGTAGTAATTGTTTTTGCATTTAGCAACACCATAGTTTGGATTTGATTCCCGCCCAGGATACCAACATAGATATACCAAAGGGAAATATTCTAGGAATGTGATCCAGGGAACAGTTATATCAGGGAGCTATATTAATGGAATCATAGTTCCTACAACCTTGGTTCTCACTGGGTCTTAACAACTACATCATATTCCAGGTGATACAGTTACCAGTGACTGGTCTCTATTCTGTCAACTTAATTTTTAAAATGTATCCTCAATAACATCCTTAGAAAGAGAAAATACATATTCAAGCAAACTATAGAATATTACATAACTCTAGAAAACGTACCACCGGAAGCTGTCTTGGGATGAAAGATGCAAAAATGTCATTAAAAAGCATGCATGTAAATGCCAACAGTGACTATAATCTAAGGCAAAATGAGGGAGTGATTATGAAATTTAACTCTTGTTTTTAAAGTTATATTTTGAGTGTATATTTGTCTGATATGAAAGTTTTAAAAAAGGCTTAACATGGAGTGTCACCCTTGCTCTGTCCCCTACACTCTCAGTTCCCCTCCCTGGGGCAACTACTCATGATACCAGATGCATAGAAAAACATATATATGTTTTTCTCTCTTTACACAAAATTTAACGTACTTAAGTTATGTTTCAATATTGCTGTGTGAGTTTTAAAAGAAGGATGGAGACAATGGAATGCAGCTAAAGAGGAATGGTAGTTTTCATCTGCAGGTCATGTCAATCATTCTAAGAATGTGGCTCAATTTAATCAGAGTAATGGACCCTGCCCTGTATCTTGAAAATTTGGGGTAAGGTAGAACATGTTTAGGGAATGAGTACAGTCCAAATTTACTTTTGCGGGTTAAAACAATATTAACTTCATTTTCAGTTTAATAGACTTAAGGAATGAATATGTGTTACTTGCTCAAATTTCACATAGAAAATTATATGTAAGAGGTCTCTTGTAATTGTGAAACTATAGGATATATCATACTTATAAAAAAAAGACATGGTACATTTGTACAATAAAATCTGACTAAGCCTTGAAAAGGAAATTTTGACACATGCTACAACAGAGATGAATTTTGAACATATTATGCTGTGTGAAATAAGCCAGTCACAAAGCTATGAGTCTGTATACCATACTGTATGATTCTACTGATGTGAGCTCCTGGAATAGTCAAATTCATATGGAATAAAAGTAGAAGGGTGTTTGTCCCGGGGAGATGGGACATTAACATTTACCAGGCATAGAATTTTAGTTTGACATGAAGAGTTCTGAAGATGAATAGTGTTGATGGCTGCTCAACTTTGTTCATGTATTTAATGACACAAAACTGTGCACTTAAAAACAGCTAAAATGGTAAACTTACCATATGTTTGCCACACTAAGTAAAAAAGAAAAAAGGAAACAACACTGGGTTTTGTCAAGTGCATACTGAGAATATATAAAATACTTTTTTTTTCTTTTTTTTTATTAAAAAGTTTATTTTTACATCATTTTGCACATTTTTTTTTCATCTCAATTGTAATCCCCACGGGTTTCCCATCACCAAATCACCCCTGTGCCACCACCATAGTCCCGTGCATTTCCCTCCCTTCCCCCCCCCCGCCCGTTTTTGGTCCCATTCCCCACTCCACCCCCACAGAATGTCTCTGGTCTATGGTTGTTCATTATTTTTGTTATTTTCTCGCCTGGTGAGAATATATAAAATACTTTTATATCTACTATAATATAATGCATTATGCCATAGGTGTTATCTTCAGGGAAGCACACGGGACCTGGTAAATTAACAAATGGAAAGAAAGGGTAAGTACTTCAAGAGGTTCACAACTCAGGAAACCACAAGAGGTTTTTCAGGTCTTTGAACTGGACTAAATTTTGTCTGGACACTGGATAGGTAACTCTCACAAACGCTAGGAAGGAACTTTTTCATATCTACCCTGTTGATCATTTGAGTGTTTTAACAGCAAAGTGTGGTGGGTGCCCTAGGGGCTGAGATGGAGGACTCAGTGTACGTTGGTGGTGGGCTGACATGGTAACATGCATTGTAAGAGCTATGATTCTGTTCCATTCAGTCTTGTAAACTGTACACTAGTGTTACCTCATTAAGAAAAAATTAATAGATACCAAATCCCCTTTAAAAATAAGTAAAATGGTCTAGTCTTCATGGAGTCCTATGTCAATTCCTTATACATGGTCGGACAAACTTGTTTATCCAACCTTTACTGGAAGTAAAATGACCACTTAACTAATAAGTTATTTACTTATTTATTTTTAAAGTATGTACTATTTGTAACTATGAATAAGCTTGTCTTCTAGGACACACGTAAGAAAGATTTCTCGGTTTAATGCCGACTCTGGCCATCCTGTCCATTCTGATTCGGAAAGTCAGGTAAGATTAATTGAACAGATACAATATGCATTTCTGGTAAAAGCAAAGAGGTTGAAATAAAAATTCAAAGGAAAAGTCTAAGAGCCCTAAGAAATATGAACACTTTGTTCTAAAACATGTTTTGTACCAATAACAAATTACTTCTAAATAAGAAACATTTAAAACTGTATCTTTTTTCCTGCACTATTATGTTCATATTCACATTTCTAACTGACTTTGTGTTGCAGACTGAAAAGGGGCTCGATGGTTGTGCTTCTTTGCTGCGGGACATTTTGAGAAATGAAGATTCAGGTGTGCTTTTTTGAAAATACTTTGCTGATCTTAATTAAGTTGTCTTAATGCTAATTAATTTTATTTTAATTGTTAATAGGTTCAGAAATAGCATATTCAGAAAATAGGCACAATCCCAGGCCTTTAGAAGGCAAAACATGCGGATCAAAAAAGAAAGGACATGAAAAACATAGTGCTCCTTTAGTAGTCCAGAAAGAATTTTGTGAGTATTTTTTCTCTTATTTATTCAAATATAATATTCATTATGAAGGCTTTGACAAATTATGAGGATTATGCAGTTGGGTTTTCATTCTATTAATGGCTATTGGGTATATATATTTGTGCTTCTCTTTCCCTGTTCAACTTTTATGGGCTTCTTGTTTTTTTAAAAGGTTACTTTTGTTTACTTATGCATATAAGAACTGGGGTGTAGGCCAGAGGTGGGGAGGGGGTAAGAGGATTCACCAGAGACAGAGTGGGAAGCAGACCAGGTCAGAGGAGCAGCAGGCAAGACAGGAGCGGACTACTGTGCCATGTGGGTCAGCTCCATTGCTGGGCATTGAACTCACTCAGGTGGCAGTGGCTGGCAATAAGATGACAGACTATAACTGAGATGAAAAAGCATACACTCTACAAAAATGAAGAATGGTGTAAAAAAAAAAGTTGATAGAGCTAAGACTTAACTCCTGCACCACCAGGGAGGCCCTCTCTGTTAAAAGTTTAAAAGTTTAATTGTTGAACAGTTACTTTATTTACTACCACTTTCCCAAAAAAAGGGGTAGAAAAAGTGACTGGGTTTTGTAGAAGAACAGATTCAGACTGGACATTTGGGAGTTATATATAGTTATCTTTGTCCTCTCTGCTACTTATTTCTATAATCATAAATGGCTTCATTTCCTGTGTATGCTTATGCATATATATTTTTAAAGATTTATTTATGCATACAGAAATGGGGTACAGGCCGAAGGTGCAGGGGTGGTGAGAGGATTCACCAGAGACAGAGTGGGGAGCAGAACCAGCAGATCAACAAAGCACATTGCTGAGGGGAGCAGCGGGCGGGTCATGAGAGATCTGCCGCACCATGTGGTCACCTCCTGGTGGGGATCAAACTCATGCTGAAGTGGCTTTAGCTTCTTATTGCTGCATTAACCGGCTGAGCCACTAGGGAGGGCCATACATACACTTTTTAAAAAAATTATTTCACATGTTTATATCCTAAGTATAGTAACTCAGCCTGTTGAGCTTCAGTTAAAAATACATGGTATGTGGCCCTCCCTGGTGGCGCAGCGGGTTAAAGCACAGCACTGAGAATCTAAGACGGCTTCCACATGAGTTCAATTCCCGCCTGCCCCGGAGGTGACCACATGGCGCGGCAGACCTCTCCTGACCCGCCCGCTGCTCCCCTCAGCAGTGTACTTCGTCAATCTGCCTGTTCTGCTCCCCACTCTGTCTCTGGTGAAGCCTCTCACCCTCCGCATCTCTGGCCTGTACCCCAGTTCTGTATGCATAAATAAATAAATCTTTAAAAAAAAAAATACATGGTATGTAAGAAGGTAAAATTCCATATTAGATAAGGAAGAGTGCCTTCCACTGATTGAATATAGCCAAGAATATTTTATATCCTCACAGTTAAATTTGCTGACATAAATATATAATTCAGCAGTTTAGAACAATTGTAAATTTTGGTTGTTGTTCCATGAAACTATAAAACAAAGTAGCCCAAAGTGGAAATGAATAAGTATAGAATGGAAATCCAGAGGACAAGAATGGGCCCAGCTGTTCCTATAGGTCAGGAGGGCCGAAGTTTGGTGTAGCTGTGTATGCTTATATTCAGTTCACTAAGGGTTGAAGTCTAGAAAAGCACCTATGGTACTAGCTCAGGATATAAGAGATCAGGATCCAGGTCCACCAAATGAGGGTAGAACAGTCATAGGACTAGAGGTTGATGTTTTGGGCGATGGTCACGAGTTAAGTAACTGAGGCAGAATAAACCAATTATTAACCCGTCTTGGCTGCCAGTCACATTTGGCTTCATAGTGCCCGGGCCTGTACTGTCCCAGGTTGTAGTGGCCACCATAAATAGCTGCTGAGCACTTGAAGTATGGCTAACACAAACAAGGAGCTGATGTTACATTACTTAACTTATTTAAATTTAAATTTGAAAACTGATACTTGATACAGGTGTTAGAAAACTTTTCAGTATGTTTGAAATAACTTGGGTATGTAAGCCTACTTTTCAGCTGTAAATTTAAATCTAAATCACATCAAGTATTTCTGATGAAAATTTAGTATCCAAATTAAAACTCAATGTAAAATACGAGCTAAGCTTGGAATTCTTAGCACAAAAATATCTCATACAGGGCCCTCCCTGGTGGCTCAGCGGGTTGAAGCACAGCACTAAGAAGCTAAAGCTACTTCAGCGTGAGTTCAACCCCTGCCCCGGAGGTGACCCACATGACCCGCCCGCTGCTCCCCTCAGCAGTGTACTTCATTAATCTGCCTGTTCTGCTCCAAACTCTGTCTCTGGTGAATCCTCTCACTGCCCTTGCACTTCTGGCCTGTACCCCAGTTCTGTATGCAGAAATAAATAAACCTTTAAAAAAAAAAACTCATACATTAATTACATGTTCAAATGTTAGTATAGAAATTTAGTTTTTCCTGGTTTTACTTTTTTTAATATGAACACTGGACAATTTTAAATTGCATATGTGGTTTACATTATATTTCTCTTGGAAAACATTAGGATAAGGTATAGCCTGATTCAATTAATAAAAAATAAGCAGTTATTTTATTTATTTTGTAAATAAAGTTTTATTGGAGCACAGCCATGCTAATTCATTTGTACCAATTAATTTTCTGTGGTTACTTTTGTACTGCAAGGACAGAGTTGAGTAAATGTGATAGATTTCAGCCTTGCAACTCAAAGCCTAACAAGTATTTACTTTCTTGCCTTCTAAGACTAGGAAGAGTGTGCTAACGCCTGGTAACTTTTAAATATGTTGGAGACTGATGGACAAGGAAATGTGTGGTAGCACCATTGCCTGTTCCTACAGTGCCCTGCTTTTTTCTCAAGGCATATCATATCTTGTCCAGGGCACTCTTGCTTAAGAAATGCTCTTTGGGAATATAGGAAGCTAACAATGGTGCCATGGTAGCCACATGTTAGATCCAGCTTAACTACTTGTTAGTATTTCTAACAGGAAACAGATGGCAACACTCAAATTAATATAATTCAAGAAGGGTTTAATTTCAAAGGATTCGTTACAAAAGTGTCAGTGGGTATAGGAAACCAAAGGGCTGGTGCTAGCAGGAGAGGAGCAGCAGCAGCAGAGACGGCATTATCCTTATGCCTGAAGGATTAGGAGAGATAGTGTACTGGACTCGGAAGGAGATATGCTGCGCACATAGGACTCCTTGAGGAGAGCAGTGGGGCTTCATTTAAGGAACAGCCCGTCTTAAGTTGGTCTCATAGAGAGAGAGTTGGGAATAAATACTTTGACTTCATGCTTCTTCCTTTACTTGAGATACCAAGACTTCTGTAGACTCAGAGCCAACTGGAGCTCTGTTGTGTATTAGGTCTAGGATTTGATTTTTGTAAGAATCTAGTAAGTTAGTGGTAATATGTTATGGTTACTGAGTAGAAGATACAAGTCTCCTGGGTCAGAGAGATAAAGGAGCAAGCAGCATGTGCGCATCAGCATCTTTGTGTTGCTTCCCTTTCACTCCCACTTGCCTTGGGGGTGATGAAATAGACCCAGATGATGCTGTGCATTGTTTCAGTGGAGGAACACTCAACTTGAGGAAACAGTCACTTTGCTAGAAAGTAGTACTCTGTTGCCTTGGAGAGAAATACTACCTTATCTTTCAAGGTTGCTTATAACAAGGACAGCCCTAAGAACTGAACCAGGTAAGAAGCTTAGGTCAAGGCCTTGCTTTCTTGTATACCCACCAAGACATGTAAGAGCAAAAGTGACCAGGAAGGATGGTCTCTTTAATAGTGTATTTCATGTAGATCAGTATTTCAGAGAGAGCAGGGTGGAGATGAGAAGATAGCTTTGAAGGAACAGATGGGTCTCTAGCATTAAATTCTTATTTGGCTTACAGTCAGATCATTAGTTCTAGCCTGTGATCAGTATAAAATATGCTGTTATCCTTTCTTCTACACTTTAATTATCAGAAAGAAGGACCTACTTCCCATAGGACAATCTCCTTTAGATTGCAGTATTAGAAATCAGTTCTCATTGACTATTGACTGCTAAGATCAACTTATGCGAAATCTTGAAACCTTTAGTTGAATCACTTTTTTGTAGCACTTAGCTTTATCTTGAAAGGATCATCCTTGGGATGCATTGGAGGGGTGGGGTGTGGGGACAGCTGTTAGTACAGGGATTTTGCTGTTATCTTAATGCTCTATACAAAAACCATGCAACCATGCTCAGTACATGCTCCCTTTTCTATCTCTCCACAAGTGAGGTTATAGATAGAAATTTAAGGAATCTTTTATAGCATGTTAACTAGTATCTAGGTATCATTTTAATTTTCACATACAGGGAATAAGTAGGCAGAGAATTAGCTCCAGATGTGCATTGAGCTTACTTGAGAGTGCTCCTGACAGTTAAAGAACAAGCATTTTATTTAATAAGCAACATTTTATAGTTGATAATTGTTGAATGCTGTGCACACATGGTTCTACTTTCAGTAACATACATATATTGCCACCTCACCTTGGGGAAATAAGCCACTGCAGGAAGAATCCTTTGAGCCTTGACTGGCCCTGTCAAGGCCAGGTGTTCTTTTACATATTTCAGGTTGTAGTAGACATCCATCAGCTCTTAATGCAGAAGATGTTTCTTCTATTTTAGGGTGGCAGGAGTTATGTTACCTGTCAGGCAATGCTTATACATCCAAGTGAGAGTGTTTATATAGCAGCTAAAATTCCAGGACTGAAAAAGTGTAAGGGCTGGTTAACAGAAGGTATCCCTTTCATAAATTCTAGTTATCAATTGATAGCAATGAAACATATTGCCATCCTAATCTGTTAGGTAAAATTTTCATGTAGGATGCTTTGGTATAATGAACAAAAAGCAAAAAAAAATACATTTAATTTATATTTTGTATTAACAGACTCATTTTGTTATTGTTTTTGACATTTTTGGTTTTAATTTTAGAACTGTATATTAGTACTCTAAATACAGTCTTTCTCTTATATTCATTTGTGGGTTTTAACTGGTCTTGGATCATTTGCTTTAAGATTTTGTCTCTTAAATACAAATCTTCAGCATTATCTTCAGTTTTATTTAGAATGAGTTAATTGGTTAGTTTTACCTAATTTGAACTTCATAGAAATGCATTTAAAGAACATGTACCCTTGTGTCTGAAATCTTTCATATGTCCATTTTTCATTATGTCTGTTCAATTCAGGTAGGTAGTTTTTAGTTACATATATTAGTAATTCTTTTTTTTGTTGCTGTATAGTGTTCCAACATGAGTATACTACAATTTATCCTCTTCTGTTATTCATGGTTACTTGGGTATTTTTGGGCTTTGGCTAATGTTTTCATCATTGTTGTGTATATATCTTTTAAAACACAAACAAATACTTGTTTATGTTGGTATGTACTGGGAGTATAATTGCTGGGAGATTTAGATTTTGTTTCAGGTCCCAGCATGTAGATTAAGTTAACCTTGTTCTTATTCTCAAATCTCAGATATTTTTTATGATCAAAGTATTCTTTTTTTTTTTTTTTTGTATGGAAAGCTGGGGTGTAGGCCAGAGGTGCAAGGAGTGAGAGGATTCATCTGAGATAGGATGGGGAACAAAACAGACAATTTACTGAAATACACAGCTAGGGGAAGCAGCAGGTGAGACAGGAGAGGTCTGCTGCACCATATGTGGGATAGTCCCCGGCCAGGGATCAAACTCAGATCTTAGCAGTGATAACACTGAGGCATAACCCCTAGGCCATCAAGAAAGCCCCTTTTACAAAATATTCTGACTTTGTATTCTATTCTCTTATCCCTGTCCCCGAAAGTATGAACTGGACAAGGAGCAAACTGAAAGTTTTATTGAATTTTAAAGAAAAATAACACTCATAAAGGGTCTTAAAATTAAAGGATTTTACAAATAGTATTTAATGGCAATTTTAAAGACATAGGATAATTTTGACTGCAGTACCTAGCTCATTAACTTGCTTAAAGAAAAAATTTGGTGGTTTTGTAAAGTATATGATGAATTGAGCTAATTCTGAGAGTCTTTTTTCCTTTAATCTCCAATGGTAAAAGTTTTCAAAAAATCTTTTTTTTTTTCAATTTTAATGTCACTTTACTGACCAGACATACATTTTTATTAATAGCAATCAAAATGAGAGCAAAATTAGCCAAAAATATGTTATTAAAAAATTCTAATTATTTTCATATTTCTTTCCAATTCTTACTCATATGCAGGCGCATATATTTTGCAGTACTCCTCTAACATGGATATCCTTGTGTATTTTGCTTTTTTTTTGAGGAATCATATCTAACTTTTTTTTTTCTTTCTTGAACAATAGTATCTTCAGATAACAAGAAGCAGATGCCAAATGAAGCTTCTACTGGTAGTAAAAGAGACTCGTCAAATAGTGCACAAAATTGGTCATTGCAAGATCATTACAGAATGTGTTCACCCATAATATTCCAAGCACTCTGTGAGCATATTCAGACTCAAATGTCACTAATGAATAACTTGGCTACAAAGAACAAACCTGGAAGTCCTGCTATGTCTTGCCACACTACGTCTGGTTCTGGTTAGTAAAAATGATGTTTTAAAAAGCATGAATATAAATTCCAATTAAGTTGCCTGGCTGTTGTATAAGCAGTATGAGATGTGAATGATTTTTCTCCCTCTTACCTTTTAGAATCTCAGACAAATCCACAGTCTAACTTTGGCTTACCTACCTCTATCCCTGACCGGTTACCTGAGCAGCCACACTACCCTTCAATGTCTCATTCTGTGGGTACAGTTTATATACCATTTAAATCATTGTGTGTTTTTAGAAATTGTCATCTTACCAAAAAAATCAAATGTACTGATTGTGTCTTAGCCCTAGGATGTAAAGACTAATTATGTTGTAAGTTTTGTTTCATTGGAAATATTTTACTTATTTATCAAGGGCATTGGTGAAGAGGAAGGAGTGGAAGAGATCAGTAGAAAAAAGAAATCACCCTTACCCAGTACCCAAGTACAGTTTCTGTTAACACATTGATTAAGCAGTTTCCAGTTATTCTCAGATCATTCCCCCCGTCCCCATCCACCGGTTTTGTTGTTGAGTTTGCTTTCTTTTAAAAATATAGTCATAATTAAATTTTACACAGTCTTATATAGCATCTTTTTTTCACTTAACATTTTACTATTAGCATGCCTCTCTATTAACATTATCTTTTTAAATTTTTAATAAGTTGTTAATACTCTCTTTAGTGGGTATACCATAATCTGGGTAACTACTCCCCTATGGTTAGACAATTAAGTAACAGCCAGTTTTTTACTACGTAACATTTCTGTAAATATGTCTGTACAAAAGCTTTTTATGGTTACGCTTATTTTCTTACAATGCATTTTCTTAAAGTAGGTATTTGTTTTACTTCCAAAGTGGACTAATTTTTGATACCTTTAAACTATGTGTAATATTTATAAGCAGTCTATTTTAGTCATGACTTTATAATGTTCTTCTATTGCCAAGTGAACAAATTACGTTTAAGGAACTAAAATGCTGTGGGAAAAATCTAGCTTACATACTGGTAATCTATAATTTCATCTTACAAAAGTCATTTCAGTATTTCTCACTTGAGTATCATAATTAATGTTTGTGAATTAGTCCTCACATTTTTGAGAACGTAAATTTTTTTTTGTCTGTTTCTTTAGGACATTCAAACTAATAGTGATAACCAGTTTCCATCACAAGATAAAACACTATCTGTGAACTATACTGATGCTCTAAGGAATTCTTGTCTTGGAGTTCCCCAAACTGACAAACCAGTTATTCCAGCATTTCAGCAACAAGGTTTTACATATGGGATTCTGCCCCAACAAGGAGTTCCTAATGAACCAGATCTACGAAAGTGTTTCCAAACGTATATGAATCTGTTGCATTTCCATGGAAATGAAACTCATCCAGACAGTCAGGCACACCAAAGCCCCATTCTATCACAGCCAGCTTTCTTGACTGAACAAAAATTTAGTGAAGAAAAATGTGCCAGAAGACAAGTTGGACAGGTCACAAGTGAAGGAAAGGATTTAAATGCATGTATGCAAGATTCAAGAATACAGGATGTGCAGAGGACAAAAAATGTGAACCAGTGTGCTGAAAAAGTTAGAACTATAAAGTATTTGTTGGGAGAGCTCAAGACCCTGGTAGCAGAACAAGGTAAATAAGTACTTTATAACTTTTGGCAGATGCTGTTAATGGTAATTAGCATTGTCTTATTATTTAGTCATCATGTAAATTTAGCATAATAGTAATTGGAGTTTGTATTATTTTCCACAGAAATATGACTTGAGCTAAAAGGGGAATAAATTCTGCTTGTTTTATTTTTATTTTTTGAACTTTGATCCTTCTTATTTCCTGTGAAATTAAAATGTACTAGGATAGGAAATAACCAGTTTTTCACTTGTACTCTATCCAAAGGGGCATTGAATAGATTTAACTAAAGAAATATGTAGGGATAAACTTCTAGGCGTTAGAGAACTTTACAGATGATTAACTCCTTAGAACAGACTAATAATTTTTCCTATCTTAAAGACAATGTGGAGATCTTTGACCCATTATTTCTTTAATAACCTTATTAAAATATGTGACAGATTTTACTGTGAGAATTAATCCAGGGGTTTTCCTGGTGGTACAAGGGACGAAGAAGCAGCACTGTGAAGCTGTCCACAGCCACTGCAGCACAAGTTTGATCCCCAGCCAGGGAGGTGACCCACATGACGCAGCAGACCTCTTCTGTCTTGCCCGCTGCTCCCCTTAGCAGTGTATTTCAGTATCTGCCTCTTCTGCTCCTCTCTCTGTCTCTGGTGAATCCTTGCACTCCCACATCTCTGGCCTACATACCAGCTCTTGTATGCATAAATTAATAAGTCTTTAAAAAAAAAATTAAGGGCCCTCCCTGGTGGTGCAGCGGGTTAAAGCACAGCACTAAGAAGCTTAAGCTACTTCCCCTTGAGTTCGATCCCCACCTGCCCCAGAGATGATCCACATGGTATGGCAGACCTCTCCTGACCCGCCCGCTGCTCCCCTCAGCAGTGTTCTTTGTCGATCTTCCTGTTCTGCTCCCCACTCTGTCTCTGGTGAATCCTCTCACCCTCCGCATCTTTGGCCTGTACCCCAGTTCTGTATGAATAAATAAATAAATCTTAAAAAAAAAAATTAAACCCAAACCTTTTTAATACTCTCTTCAGTTTACTTTGGAACTTTTTTCCTTAAATCAAGAAAAATATCTTAGTTGGTTATGAAATATTTGAGCCAGATTATATTCAGTTGTTTTCTTTACAGTCCAAATAATGACTTTTGCTTAGAGTTACAATTTTGTTAGCTTAGAAGACATAGTAATTGTGGAAACACTGATTTTTGTGGGGAAAAGTTTTAATGTATTAAACCTTCAATGTACTACTATTTTTTTAACCAAATACTTAATCATGGTAACAACAGTAATAGTAGCATTAGTTATCATATATCACACTCAACCATGTACCTACACTGTGCTTGGTGTTTTACTTGCATTATCTCAATCCTTACAGCAAACCTGTGATACACTTTTATAGATGAAAAACCGAGGCTTGGAGAATAGTACCTTATTTAATCCTTTCAGCAACCCTGTGAGATATTATGGTTATTGTTTTTTAGCCATGAAGAAATTTAGATTTCAAGATTAGTAATTTACTGAGGTTATACTCCTAAAAAATGGTGGAGCCAGATCTATTAAATCCGGGGCTTTGGAGGAAAGCCACTCTACAAAAGGCTTGTAGATGATTCTGAGTACCATTATTTGCTGTGTGGTTTTCATGAATAAACTTTTGCAACTTAAAATATACTTTTCTGGCCCTCCCTGGTGGCGCAGCGGGTTAAAGCACTGCACTGAGAAGCTAAAGCCACTTCCGCATGAGTTCGATTCCCGCCTGCCCCGGTGGTGACCACATGGCGTGGCAGACCCCTCCTGACCCGCCCGCTGCTCCCCTCAGCAGTGTACCTCGTCGATCTGCCTGTTCTGCTCCCCACTCTGTCTCTGGTGAAGCCTCTCACCGCCCCTGAGCCTCTGGCCTGTACCCCAGCTCTGTATGCATAAATAAATAAATCTTTAAAATATATATATATATATATATATATATACTTTTCTACTTGTTTTGGGTATCAGGGCAATTAATATCATAAGCATTAAATATTTTCAGCCTAAAGAAAATTTGAATAGAAATGAGGGGGCAACAGTAAAAAGACAAAAGATCTAAAATTCACTTTTTCCTGTTTTGGTTTGCCACTTCCAAAAGCATCTACTCACAAAAAAATAAAAATCATGCTGCTTTTTCTACTACAGCAAATGAGGTGTCACTTGTGTTAAATCTGTTTTATAAAAAGTAGATGCTTCCTCAATACTTTGCCAATTCGAGTCACCTAAAGTGAATTATTTATTTATGCCAGGATTAAAGTTGTGTTAATACTATAATCAATTAGAGAATCCCTTCATACATATAGGAGTCCAATAGCGTAGGTTAGTAAATGTGAACTGGGAGATACATATAAACTTTCTTTCTACGAGACTCTAGCTGAAAAAAATCACTAGCATCATATTTCTGTTATTTAATATTAATCTTTAATGTGCTGAATTTAATTTCCTTAAAATTCTTCTGAATAAGCAAATACAGGAAAGGGGAAATAACATTTTTATGTTAAATTCATAATTGAGTTTAGTTTATTTATGCCCAAGTGTGTAATATCTGATTTCTTATAATACATATAAAAAATCTTACCTGAAAACAATTTATAATACTGTTTTTATTCATTTCGTCTGCCTTTTGTAGAGGATATGGAAACTCAGAGGTTAATTACAGAATTAGAGGCATGTGTATCTGTACTTCCATCATTAAGCGGGAACACAAGTATTCAAGTTGAACTAGCACTGGCCATGCAACCACTGAGAAGTGAAAACGCTCATTTACGCAGGTAAGGATTGCTCTTTGAAAACTTGTCTCTGTGCAAAGATATCATGTGACCAGAACAAATGAGACATCCAGGACTCCATGACAAATGTAGATTTACTGTCTGAACATGTTTGCATTTTATCTTTCCCATTTTGCAGACATCGTTGGCATTTTCTAATTCTTCCATTAATTCTCTGTAATTCTCCCACCTCTTTTACCTCTATAGTTACTTAGTTGGTACTGTATAGGGAGGAAAAGGAAGTGCTTCAGGTATTTTTTAGGTTAATCCAGGCTCTGCTGCAGCAACAAACTCCAGAATCTTAGTGGCATAGAAGAGCAAATCTATTTCTCCCTCATACCAAGATCAGCAAAGCTCATAGAGGTTCTCTTTTACTGTGTGACACAGGACCTAGGTCCACCTTATGTTTTTATAGGTCAAAGAAAACATGAATATGGCATACCCTGGACTTGAAGTGACAGTCTCACTTCTCTATATTTTGTAGGCTAGAATGAGGGCTGTAGCCCTGTCTAATACAAGATCTGAGGCATAAAATGTTCTCTTACTTCATTTGCCCGAGAAGGAAAGAAGACTCTGATATGAGCAAGCAGCAGTAGCCCCACCATACTCAGACATGGGAGAAAAGTCATTTACGTTCTTAGGTATTTTTTTCTTCTGGCCATCTTAACTTATTTTGGAAGTATAGACTTAATTTGTTTAGGAAAGATGTAAACTGGGAATCTGACCTTGAAGTACAGAAATTATGTATGTGTTATCAGTAGTACCTTAACTTTGATACTACTGAATGTTTCAGTGATGCCAACAAGGCTTCCACTCCAGCATCTTTATTAGTGTGCTTCATAGAAAATTAGAGCATGTTTTCAGGCGCTTCCATAGTGTTATACTGTAAATGCGGTATGAAACGGATCTCAGTTGCATGAACTATAGACATTATACTAAATAGGACTTGCAAGATCAGAAACTGGAAATTTGTATAAAATAGGAATCCTCTCTGGAATCATGATCTGAAAGCTGCAAAGCCGTGATACTTGAGATTTATTTGCTGAGGATTACTTCTCTAAAAATCATTAGTCTCTAGATAATATATAATGGGGTTGCTAGTTTAAATTCTAGTAATACTGACTTCGATCCTCATCTAAGGAATCCCTATAATGGCACTGGTTTTTCAAAATCAAAACCAAGAATAAGTAATAGCAATGGTAATAGCCAATACTACTACATTTATGTTCTTTAATGTGCTGGGCTATTATCCTTCATGTGTGTCCTTTAACTTCTCACAACAGCTGTGAGGTGGATTTTATGTCATTCTCATTTACAAATGAGAAAACCAAGGCATAGAGAGGTTATGTAACTTATATGACTAAGAAGTGACAAGGACAAGACCCAAACCTGGGCAGTTTGATTTTAGATTGTAATAATCTTAATTTCTACATTGTCTTTGTTAGGAAATAGAAACTAATTTATTTATTCTTCAATATTTAGGTGTATTTTGTGAGATATTTAGAATAAAGCAAGTGTGTTTTCAGAAGCATGATTATCAAATAATTGTTGTTTTTTTTTCCCCTTAAGATTTTATTTATGCATACAGAACTGGGTATAGGCCAGAGGTACAGGGTGGTGAGAGGATTCACCAGAGACAGAGTGGGGAGCAGAACAGGCAGATCGAGGAAATACGCTGCTGAGGGGAGCAACGGGTGGGTCAGGAAAGGTCTGCTGCACCATGTGGTCACGTCCGGGGCGGTCAGGGTTCGAACTCATGCTGAAGTGGCGTTAGCTTCTCAGTGTTATGCTTTAACTGGCTGTGCCACCAGGGAGGGCTGTAATTGGTTTCTTAAATAAGCATACCAAAGCTTAAGTCTTAGAATATTATATATTTTAATATTGTGGCTATGGAAGATATAAATGATTCTATTTTTTCCATGTCTTAGGATATTTTAGAATTGCTTTAGAAGCTAATTTATAAGCCACTTAAGAAAATGAGGCTTATTTGCTTGTTGGTTACTGTTTGTTTTTAATTTTTTTTTAAAGGTATTAGTTTGATGTCTAACCTTCTTTAGATGTCGCACCAGAGATTTTTGGCTCTGTATCTTTAAAGGACATGTTCTTGTCATTCTTTACTTGACCTTTTAAAAATGAAATTATTGAGAAATGAATTTGTCACATAGTCTCAGCAGAATGAAGTTTCCAACAGAAGTGCAGGGATTTTGTGCCTCTTGGTAACTTCTTTTTTTTTCCTAAAGATTTATTTATTTATGCACACAGAACTGGGGTACAGATCAGAGGTACAGGGACAGTGAGAGGATTCACCAGAGACAGAGAGGGGAGCAGAACAGGCAGATCAGTGAAGTACACTGCTGAGGGGAGAAGTAGGCGGGTCTGCCTCCCCATGTGGATCACCTCTGGCCAGGGATCAAAATTATGCTGATGTAGCTTTAGCTTCTTAGTGCTGCATTTACCTGCGGTGCCACAAGGGGGGGCCACTTTTGGTAACTTTTATAAGGGAAGAATCATCCATAAACTCTATTATCAGTGAAATTTAGAATATAGGTATTCATTCAAAAGTGAATTTTCAATCAAAAAGTTTCCAGTTGGACATTCAGAAACAAGCATGAATTTATTTTCAAAGATCAAGAAGTAATATTTTAGGTCTTTCTTGACATTTATTGCCATCTTGTGGCTTAAAACAAAATAACTAGGTATATTGTTTCTATGGCATTTTGGTATAATTGTCATTTAGGGCTGGATACTTTTTACATGGGACTTACTAACCAATGTTCAACATTCAGCCTTCCTGATTCCTACCCACTAGATGTCTGTAGTGCACCATTCACTGTGACTACCCAAAACCCTGTCACATTAACAAATTTTGTGAATGGTTGGGAATACTACTTCCAGTTAAAATTCTTCCAGATGGAAGATACTAGATAAATAATACATTTTTTTTTAAATCTTTCTCGCTTTTTTTTTAAATTTTATAATTAGAAAATGTAATGGGAGAGCCAGTGTATTAAAAGATTTAGACTCAATGAGTGTGTCATTTAGACCTTTTGGAGATTTGTATGGTGTAAGAAGAGCACATGAACAAGATTCAGTATAGAAGTATACATTGGGAACTAATCACTGAGCATATTTTTAGTGAACCATTTTTATAGATTTGATGCTGTTGTAGGAAATGGAGATAGTGGTGATTAAAAGTGAGTGTTTGTTATCAGCATGTAAAGTAAATTCATCAAGAAGGTATAGAGTGTGAACATAGGTGAATTCTGGAGGATAGCAAAAGAACACAGGAAGAATAGCCTGCAAAAGAATCCCAAAATGGAGCCACTAAAGAAGTAGCAGGAAAACTAAAAGGGAGTGATGTCACAAAAGCTATGGAAAGAGTTTGTAAAAAGGAGGGAGGGATCTGTGCATAACATTCAAAACAAACAAAAAGTTTCAAAGGTAGGTAAAAATATGCATCACAAGGCGAGTCACCCTAAGAAAACCCTGGAAAACTTGAAACAGTATTCCATAATCTCAATGAAATTAAAGACAATAGAGTATCTCCTAGAGGAAGAGAGAGCTAGAATGCTTGAAATGAAAAAGTATTACAAAAGGGGAAGCCCCAATAGAAGCAAAAAAATTAATACCAAACAAAGTCAGGAATATTATATTCCATTAGGACCTAATTAATATGAAGGGTGAAATTTTTGTTGTTGTTTGGGGGCTTTTGTCTTTCTGCTAACAAATCATATAAAGAAAAAGATACTAGACTGACCTCAACTTTTCTATAGTGGCTTCTGTTGCCAGTGGATGAGAGAATCTATTTACAAAGCCAAGAAGGTGGGACATCTGCCCTTTTAATGTAAGCACAAGAGTCAAATTCTTGGGTATGGAAGAATGTAGGAAGTACAACATCTTTGGCTTCTTTAAAAACAACAACAAAAACATGATAAATGGCAAAGCTTGGTCAACCAAGCAATAAATCCAAAAGAAGTAGATTAGAAATGAACACAGAACTAAGGTAACTGAAGGAATTGTAGTTATAGGATAAAATGTGTTAGTAAATTTGACAATATAAATTCCAAAAGCAATGCTTCTCAGACCCTAATTCCTTTATTTTAGGTTATTTTGAATAATATTTTTTATGTAAAGAAATAATTGACTGATACTCATTATTTCTGGTTTTGTTATTTTTTCTTCAGTTAAATTCATATAACCCTAAATTCAGTACATAGTATTTTAAATAACATTTGTAATATCCCATTATCTTAAGTTCTGTTTGACAAATTTTTTAATCTCTGGATATTGCTAGAAAATGTCTGAATGATAGCCAGCAAAAAATGATTATTATTTCTATTCAATATTGTGCTATGGGTTTTAACCAATGTAATAAGGCAGGGGAAAGAAATAAAAGCCAGACACATTGAAAAAGAAAGAACAACTCTTATTCACAGTCTTATTCACAAATAACATGATAGTCTTCGTAGAAAATTCTGTTGAATCTACAAAACCACTTTGGAAAACAACTTGGCAGTTTCTGACGTATACTATATGATCCAGTCATTGCACTAGTATGTAGTTTACTTCAAGAGAAGTGAAAGCATATGTCTGCATGTTTTTCTGTTCTTGAATGTTCATGAGAAGCAACCCAAATGTTGGTCAGCAGTTGCATGGAAAAACAAGTGGTGGTGTATCTGTTCAGTAGAATACCCCTGCAGAGGAAAAAAAGAAGGAACTATTGATACATGCAATAGCACGGATGAATCCTAAAATCATGCCAAATGAAGAAGCCACATTTAATATAAAAATCTGGAAAATGCATGGCATTCTTTTATGATTGGGTATCTGGAAAGGAGGACTTATAAAATGGGGCTTGAGAAAGTTTGGCAGTGATGAATATCTTAATTGGCAGTGAAGGTTTTACCATATCATATGTCAAAACTCATCAAATTATATTTTAAATGTGCATTTTACTGTTAACAGTTTTATAGTTTCATCTCAATAAAGCTTTGTTTTTAAAAAGTGAACTGAAACAAGAAATGTCTGTAGTGTTACTTTTCCTTTGTTAAAATCAAGTAAATTTACTTTTTGTCAGGTATCTTTTTTTTTTTTTAATAGAGCAATCATGTTTTAAAAGCCTAGTCCTGAAAACTGGAGGGAAGGAGAGTAGCTAGTGATACAGTTAGTTTGGAGGGTGTGTTTACTTAATTACGGAAGAAGTTTTGTTTCTTGGTTCTGGCACATGAACCAATAGAGAGAAGTTGCAGATGGAAAAGATAAAGGGAGAGGAATAGGAGCAGAGTCTGTGGGGTATAGGAGAGCATATTCCAGGGAGCAAATTGGAAGAAAGAATTAAGGTTTAACATACCTATGGATAAATTTATGTACCCTGGGACAGAAGGGTGATTCTTTTCCCCAAGTCACATTGTGGTAAAAATAACAAATTATTCTACTGAGAAGAGGAAGTTAAAGGATGAGAGACTTATAAAGAGTGGTGAAAGGTTTAAATGAGTTCTGTTGGGGGAGACAAGGATCTGATGAGACAAAATATCTCATAAAACTTATGTCGCACACTTGGTGTATAAGAAGTCATTGGTACCTGCTGCTCTTTGGGAATATGCCAAAAGCATTACAACTTGAGTTATAGATCTCTACTGCCTTTTTTAGATCTATAGTCTATTGTTATAAATATGAAACCTTTTCAGAAAATCAGAATTTTATTGAAACAAAAATGAGCTCATGTTATACTGTTGTATCTTAGCTTGCGTTTTCTTTCTATTTAAAATGTATTTAGGAAATATTTCCATTTCAATACATATGAATGTCTCGGTTTTTTAAAAATCTGTGTATTAATTTTTCATAGTATAGTTATACCAAAATTTGTATAGCATTTTAAGGTTTAGTATTATTTTTTAAAAGATAATGAACATGTTACCTTTTTTGGATACTGCCAGATTATCTTCCAAAATGATTATAATAATAGATTTCCACCAATTGAGATAATACATTTCCCTGTATAATCAGCAGCAAAGTGATATTTCCTTTTATTTTATCAACCCTGTGGCCATAAAATAGCTCCTGTTGCAGATTTGCATTTCTTCATTTTCATTAGCATATGCTTTGCATTTCTCAGCATAAAAGCTGAGTATTTTTCTTGTGCTTATATATCATTTCTACTTACACAAGTTACCCATTCTCATTCTTTGTCATTTTTTAAGCATTTTTTTACTGACTTGTAGAACTATTTAAATGTTAGACCTTTTTGTTTGTTAGTGGCAGGTTTTTCTCTTCCAAACTATTAGATCTAGAATAAGTTTCAAATTTTGATATAGTCAAATCCTTCATTCTTTTCCTTGACACTTGGCTGGATTGACTGATTGTCTCAGGTATGCTCTCCCCACTTCGAGATTATGTAGATCTCCACCAAAAACTTGTATATTTGAGTCATTTGTTTCACACAATATGTTTAGCTCTAATCTACCTGGAATTAATACTTATAAATGATATGAGGTGGAGCACTATTTTTAGACTTAGTAGCAAAAATGAATATTTCAGTGCAGAATATTTTCAGATAAGTAATTTTGGAAAGATACTAAAAGTAACCTTTTTTTTTTTTAGCATTAATTATAAGTAAGGAAAACACTCTTCAGCTGTCTACTGCCAGGATTTCCACTACAGATGCAGGAAAAAAATGCCTACACTCTTATGTGTCTGATTTTGGCACCCGATTGAATGACAAATGAGAAAAACATGAAATTTTGAAACTCAAATATAACCTGTAAACAGTAAAGAATCAGTTTTGCACTAAAGAATTATCTAAAATTTGAGTTAAAAGGAAACACTTTTGTAGTTCCTATTTGTGAAGTAGCTACTATATACTGTGAAGTTCATTGCAGGACAAAGTTTCTGCTTCTTAGTGTAACACGCTGGTCCCCAGGAAAAGGAGAGGTTCCAGGTTCCCTGCCCCACCCCTTTTCCTGAGGGCCACCATTTCCCCTCCCTGCGGACCACCCCCTTAGATTAACATTCTCTTTACTTAAATAAGACCATTAACGTTTTCTTTTAATAAAGAAATTACTTGAAATCTAGACTTGTATTCTCCAACTTTTCAGTGTGTGACAAACACCAAGCAGATAGATAACTGTTAGGAGTCAACCCTACTGGTATTCTAATTCATGTTTATTACAGAGTTTTTTTTAAAGTAGATGATTTACCACAATAATGAAAATACAGAGAAGGAAGAGAGAAGGAAACACTAGCAACAGGAAATAGGAAAAGACAGCAGTAAAAAACAACAACAAGGAAATCACTGAAAAGAGAACAGGAAAAGAATAAAAAGAAGTTAACTTTTTCTGAATGAAGGAATCTTTTAAAAATTATTTCAGGGCCTTTTATAGCCATCGTGTGTTTTTGTGGTTTTGTTTATATGGCTTTTGGGGGATCAGATGGATTTCTACTGCTGTAATGGGTGCACTGTTAGTGCTGTCTTTTTTCATAGAATGTCAAATACACGTTGTTAAATAAGTTTGGGGTGCTTGCATTCATGTTTCTTCATTATTTCCCTTAGACAACTGAGAATTTTGAACCAGCAACTTAGAGAGCAAAAAGAAAATCAAAAGACATCTAGTTCTTTGGAATGCAACCTTGAATGTAGGTAAAAAAAAAAAACTTAAATAATATTAATTCTCTGGCTCTGGATATATTGATAAAGCTTTCTTAGTTATTTTTAGTGGACTTTGTTTTAATGAATTTTTAAAAATAGGAATAGTATTTCTTATTAAAACTTAAAATAGTGTAGAACTACAAATAAAGAATATCAGGGTTTTTAAAATTTTTTAAAAGATTTATTTATTTATTCATACAGAACTGGGGTACAGGCCAGAGATGTGGAGGGTGAGAGGATTCACCAGGGACAGAGTGGGGA